TACAGCGAAGAAACAGCCATACTAATCAACAGCGACAGCGCAGCATCCACTGGTCATTTATTGTGAGGAATCGTGAAACCAGGCAACCAAGGGATTCTTTAATTGACTTCTTTTTAGTTCCTGTTATTGAATGGCATCATAGATGGTGCAAACGAATATTTTAGGCAAAATAAACGACTCGTCGACAACAACGGATATCATTGGAGTTGATAACCAAATGTTCGGGGAGGAGGAGGGATGTAGCCAGCCAACTCAAAACAGAAGTAGTAGGGGGGGGATTAACTTTCTAAATTTAATTTCTTCCATATGGAGCTTGTCCTTTTTTTCCTTAATTAGTTTCTTTCAAAATGTTGAAATATTAACAACCAGTCTACCGCTGTCAATCAATTTTCACAACTTTGTTGTTCATATTTGTTTTTATAATATTTTATTTTTTTTAAATCTCTCCTGTTGAAAGAAGGGTAAACTATTAAAATTTCTTTCCCCCCTGGTTTATTCAATATTAGTCACCCATCCAAATATAAAAGTTAAAAATAAATTTAATTTTAATAATATATATTTTTTTTTTAATTTGAACGGAAAATACTTATTTATTCGGTTTATTTCCAAAAATTACTAACTACCCTTACAATGGAGCCAAACTTTTAACTAAGTACTTGTGAATTTCGTAACTCATAGGAACCACCTGTACCAGAAAGGGAGAAAGAGATAAAACTCCCAGAAGGCGGATTTCGAGATAAAACTTTCCCACAATATTGAAATTAACTCATTAATAATAAATTCACTTCAGAATGGAGGAAGCCTAGCTGGTATGGGGAGATATTCATTCATAATTAAGCTCATGTTACAAAATCTCACCAATAGCTATTGATTAAATAAATATGATGACTCACTTCCTGAAAGGGCTATTTTAAAGAAAACGATATAAAATTGATTAAGTTAAATAAAACACAAATAAACTAAATACAAATAATATGATATTCCCCGTACTACCAACTGGAGATCGCAATATAACTACCAGAAATTAAAAAGAAAAATTATTTAAATAAAAAGATAGAAGAGCAGAGGAGTTAAATATTTTTTGCCAAAGAGAGTTAGTCGTTAGTGAACGCTGGCCGACAGGAATGATTAACGACCGGTCGACCAATAGTTGATAAGCTTCCAAGGAGGTAAAACTGTCTACAAGGACCCAACCAGCCTCCTTCACATCTACGTGGCTCGTCTTCGGTCTGCATATCAAACTGTCTCAACACCATTTCAATAATCATAGAATCGACAGCAGTTGAGTATATATATATATATATATATATATATATATATATATATATATATATATGCATTGTTGGGAGTTCTTAGGAATCCACTGCAAAAACAGAAAATTTCGGCAAACGTTACAGATAAATGAGGCTCAGAATTAGGGGTAGCCTTCGATATCAACATTTTACGAAATATCGATATTTTCCTTCTGATATTCGATATTATAATATTTATTACATATTATATAAAATTTTATTTTATATATACGAATCTGATAGATTATATATGAATCTGATCGTTAGAAAAAAATAGTATATATAAGTATATATACTCATTTTGTTTGTTTCATGTAGAATATAGTGCGTAGTAGAGAAAAATATCGATATTTCGATAACATCGTCTATCGATTCCCATCCCTAATAAGAGCATGGAATATCGCACATGGAATCTTTCTCACTCAGTAAACCCAAGTTAGAACCTTCTCAAACCAACGCCACAAACGGTCAAAGAAATCTAAGTAGGATTTAAATAAATCAGCATTTCACTGAATCGATCTATGAGAAAATGGAAGGTATAATTGGTTAAATGGAAACTTCTGGAATAAAACTGAGGATGAGGAAGATGTACAGAAACTAGAAAATTAATTTTATTAAGGAGAGTAGAAGAATTGATACTTCCATTAATTAATTTAAAGAAGAAAATAACGCATTTTTCATATTTCAAAAATGTTTATGATATCCATAAAATATCGATTATCAGTATTTCAAGTATGATGTTTTGGTAGTATCGATAGTTTTAGGCCGATATTAATATCCCTACCTCTATCCCTACTCAGAACATGAAAATTGAAATCCATAAGAAATTACGATTTGGAAGGTACTTCCTTATTATTTAAAACTAGAGTTTAAAAACAGAGATAACTTTCAATATTTAATCCCTAAAAGTAAAATCTATATTTATATATCAAGAAAATATGTTATAATAAAGAAAAAAATTGCTGTCTGCAACTATGTTTTTCAGTAAGCAGATCTGTACTCTAATCCGTGTAAAGGATAAGTTAAAATATTTTGGACACCGCTTCGAAAATCGTCGGAGACCTATTCTAAATAGAGTGAAATGAACAAGATTCAACCCCTGGGATGGTCATGAAATAAATTTCAACCCGTCCAGGCTGGATTCAAGAAGTTAAAATTTTCATTTATTTTTTTGTCTTGTACCAATTAACTCTAATTCTTTTGTAACCACAATGAAAACTTACAAAGTAGGTCGAAATGTCGGCAAATCTAATAAAATACCATAATAATATATAGTATTACAGATCGACTGCATCCTCGACCAACTCCTTCTTAAATAATAATCACTATTAACCATCTCCACACGGAAAAAATTACGGTTTAACAGGCTCGAATATCATAACCTTTATATGCAGCACTAATTGAGACATTTGTTAGTCGACTTTAAAAGACGAAACCACAGAGAGTTGATTATGTTTGTTTTGGCTCAGAGAACTAGAACATTCAGGTCAGCAACACTAAATGTTTTGTTTTCATTTTATAAAAGTCGAAGGCAAAAAAATTAAATATACATCAAAACTAAATAAAGACAAATAAATAAACATGTTCAGAGTTTTAGAAATAATACGGAGAAAGTTCTATAATTTTTACCATAGATAACTTTTTTTCAAATATTTAAAAACTAATGCGACTGAAACTTGGTTGGCATTAAAAGACGCATTTACCAAAAATATTGACATGGTGGAAATGGTAGTTCATTAATAAGAAGTGAGGGAATTTTAATTTAAGCGTTTCGGAATAAATAAAGCCACAAATAAATATAGTTTCGTCCTATAAATTGATGAAGTGTAGGTATTAAGAAGTTATTAGTTAATTAATTTACAATTATCCTCTCACTTTATTTTTTTATTTAATAAATATATACACTAAGGCACATATTTTAACAAGGTCAGACATCAAGAGAGGAAACGGCGACAGGAAAGACAAACCTGGGAGGAATGACAAAGTATTTGCGAAGAACGGTAATGACGCAATTGATGAAGAGTTGTTGGCCCCTGTTCTTAATGTTGTAGAGAATACTAATGTCATCAACCGTTGGAATAATAATTTATTTACCGATTGGCAACAGATTCGTAACAATATTTTTTAGACTGATATTGATAATATTAGTGAACTGATAACAGCTGATGACCGACCGGACAGACTGGGAAGCAGACAAAGAGGTAGACGAGAATAGATCCGTGATTCAGGTGAAGATAAAAAGGAAAGCAGCCGGTGGCGCCACCTACCTGCCAACAGTAGGACCTGCCAGCTCGCTCCCGACCGCACGGCCGCGAAGGCTGAGCCGTGGCTTGGGGCTCTGGCGTGGCTACGAGGCTCTGGCGTGGGCTAGCAGGCAAGGACGGTACGATGGGATCTCTTCCGACACACGACTTGCGGGTATCAACCTCGAGGCGGTACGAATCAACTTCCACCGCTCCATCTGGAGATGATAATTCAAAACTCGAGGGAAACTTGAGAAAATTGATCACGTGACGTGGAATTTTTCAACGAATCGCGTGGGACTCTGTCCAATGAATCACCGGCTAACCATTTATTTCCTAAGATTGCGCATTTTTCATCGGAATGTATTCAATGACAAATACATACAATTTATTGAGCTATAACTTGAAATCTGCTTGAACTCCTTAAGAGAAAAATTTATGATAAAGTTACTTTTAAAAGATGAAGCCATATTAGATTGGCAAAGTGATGTGGAGTGTCTAGATTAGGGGACCGGTTAGTTATTCACAATGACTTGAGGGTCTGGAGGCTATAATTTTGGCATCCAAAAACTCCCTAATAACTTTATTACATATATCTTGTTATTTCTTTTGTTATTATTTATATGAAATTTCTTTAATAATAACATTTTTGGACTAAGTAGACCAAGATAGACAACATGTGGCCGAGACTACCGCTTCCACCCGACGACCTTTGCAACAGCCCACGCAGCCTGGGAGCGGCGGAGAAAGCTCTGGGGAACAAACAGAGCGAACGACAGGAAGTGTCACGTATGATTCGCAGAATCGATACCTAGATCGATTATCGTTATCGTTGTACGATTTGCAAGCTGTTCGGAGCAAGAGGACTGGTGTCCTATTTCGAGGGCGTCCTCTGAGTGGATGTTGCGTAAGATAAGCTGATTGGTTTCATCTACCATCTAGTCATAATGCATTGACGTCATCCGACTTAAGAAGAGAGGGGGGAACGGAAAACACTTTGCCAACTGTCAATATTTTGGTCTCGTAAAGGAATGTCCTATTTCAACTAGAATGAAACGCAAGATTAGAATAACACTATGCCCTAAAAGAGCACATCTTAAATTAAATATAATATATTACTAAACAATCCCTGACATGTAATACACGTTTTAGAAAAACCAAATACACTAATTTTTTTTCTACTTAAAACAATGGAATTTCGATACGATGGGAATTACCTTATTATAAACTTTTTTTTAGTTATCCATTTAGATCCATTGCACGAAAAATCTGAAATATTTGCAAGACAGAAAATTGACGTTTACTGTTTTTTTGCGAGTCACCAGACTACGGTCGATATGGACTTTTAATGATTTCTAGTTATTTACATATAGCTTAAAAACCGGATAACCCATACAATATAATTACAACGGTATACACAAATAATATAATATATAACAATATATATATATATGGTAATACTCACACTCCTTGTTCTTGTCCATGGCCTGGTGAAGCGGCGATTCGTCCACTTCAGCCTTCGGGGGCGAACGCTGGCCGGGCTCCATGCCTCCCGCGTCGGCGAACCACTCGGGGTATATCGACACCAGGGTAGAGAGCAAGTCCGCGTCCAAGCTGACCCGAAACACTCCGCAGCACTCCCGTCTACCGCGATCTACCAACAAACAAATATAATATAATAAACAACAATCATACAATTATAAAATATGTACATAATTCAACATTAAAATAAGTTTAAGTATAGTTATTGAGTTTTAATGTAAGTCTCGATGGCCTTAGACAGGTATCGAAAGAAACTCAACCCAACGTTCCAGATATTCATGCATTAGTGCATACTTATAAAGATACCAATGGCATACCAACTAGATTAAACATGGCCCAGGAAGATTCCCTCGAAGAGCGGAATGGAACTGAGTTGCTTGGAAGAAGGGCGCAACATTGAGAGAGTACTTCCATAGTCCACTCGAGATGGGTCCTCCAGGAATAGTTATTTTTTATCGATCCAAAAAACTACACCCACTGTAGTAGATTGGCTTCTAATATTTACTCCTTTATATGACGTTGGGTGAGGAAATGGGAAGGAGTATGGAAAAGTATCAAATCTATAGACAATCGACGAAAAAGGTACACAACAAAGAAAGCAAGAAGCCTGGAAGAGGTGTCAGCTGCTGGAGAAGGACGTAAAAGAACAAGGAAGACTTATTTGAGGACGGGAAAGGCAGAAGGAAGGAGGTTACCTCAAAAGAGAAGCCCACTACACTGAATATTAAGAAGATCAATTCATTTAGTTGTGGAAATAAATTATTTTGTTATACAGGAGTGGAAAGTCCTTTTATTTAATTATCCTACAGGCCTTACAATTGAAGAACAACAAACCAGGTGATTCAATCCAGTAATATTGTATTTACTCAGTCCTACATTTCAGATTTATATATATCCTTATTATTTCTTGTCACTCAGTGCCACAAAAGCATTACGTTCCCGAATCGCCAACAACAGTAAACACCCTTAAAAAGCCTATATCCAGTGCAGGGGTTTGTTTTAAAAAATTAAAATTCACGAGTGTAAATAACAAAGCTCCCCCCTCCCCACAAAGCGGAAGGCTATTTACAATTGCCGCCCAAAAGGTTATTTACAGCACATGTGAAGAATATTGGTGCCCCACCTGTCAAGTCTACGAGACAAATTTATCTTTTGTTGGACAAATTTTTTAAATTTTTAATGCCTCCTTTTCTTAGGAGCTGTTTAGAATTTTAATGGACTTTAGCATTTAGAATATCTTTTTGAGGTGGCGAAAAAAGAACAAGAAGTAGAAGATCAATCATCCATATTTGACGATCTGATATGGAAATCTACCTAAAAATAAAAACTACCCTGCTTTTTTGAGCTAACAAAATTTAGGTAAATTAAAATTTTTGTAATCACGAGGCATTAAGATCATTGATCTTTATATCCTTCATTCATTATTATTATATTTCTCTTTATATAGTTCATATATTTTTTCAATAAATTAAAAATATTGACAGGAACTTTCGTTGAGAGGCCACTTATCATCATATTGGCCACTTTTCTCTTTTATGCCCTACTTTACTAGACTGTAGCCGATCCAGATATAAACCGCTATTATACGAGAGGTTGGCGGTTAGCAGCCAGCAGTTGACGGTTGGCTTAGGCTCAAGCAGCGGCACGTGCAGTAGCCTGTCCCGTCAAGATGCTACGCCCCTCCTCCGTCCTCCCCCCTGACATCTCCTTGACATTGTTACCGCCGCTGCATTTAGCTATCGTGGGGCACCACTTGCCAAGCAGCAGCTCCTTTTAGGGTACAATTATATGGCTTACGTAGTGTTCTTTCCAAATTCTCAGCATATCCTTGGTCTTTGCCAGTTCGTGTGCATCTTTCATCTTGATAATCTTAAATGAGGACACTCACGTTTTCTATTTTTGCTGAAGAAGGCGAGAGAGAAAAAAAACAAAACAATTTATTATGTAAGGAAAAGAAGGGGGTTGAATAATAGTGGAGTAAGTGAGATTTAGAAAACGAATTTTCGTAAATATAATTAAATAATAAATATATATTATATTTATACTTAATATAGTCGTGATTCTAACAATGTTTTGACATTTCTCTAAATATATAGTTTCGTTTTCTTGAGTAAAACTATTTTTTTAAGAGCATACTTAAGCCATCGATATATCATTTAAGTACATAGTATGTTCTTCAATATTGCCTCGTTGGTATAAATACTATTAAACATCGTTTATAAAAAAATCACATCATTGACAAAAAAATAAACTGACCTACACAACTATCATTCTACTTACAACTCTTGAAAGTTTTGCTGTGTAAATATTTGGGGTCTAATCTTATTGTTGATAATTTAATTATCGGGTGAAAATGCGTTTATCCGGTTCAAAGAGTTCTCAAGAGGCATAGGCACAAATATAATAGGCTAAAATATCACGTTATCTAAAAAATCTCCAAGAGTTTCATAATTAAACTGTTCCTTTTTATTCCTAATAGCATACAAAAAAGTTCCTCATATTTCAAATAATTATAGTTTACGAGGCCAGAACCACTGGAAGTTAAATTACAAATGAGCACTAATCGATTGTACTATTTATAATTTTAATATAAAAACTAATTTAGATTATGACTACTCCTCGATTATAGATCCATAGAGGTCCCAGCAACCGCAATATCTACCTCGTAGCAGTTGGTTCGGTTTGTTGAACTATCTCGTTGGGGGCATGCATTGACGTCACCGGCCTCTTCTGTTCTGGGTCCCTTTCATGTGGTCAGCTCTTTCTGTCATTCCTCAACGGCTAGTTCGATAAATAACGGCCAAAGTTCAAAGGGGAGTTATCGAAACCATTCCTACACAATTCACAATTAGAGGTTTAAAGAATGTTAACAAAAAAAAATCCTCTTTACACCATAATGCTTCAAAAGTGTTTGATTCAATTCATGTATAATAAATAAAATTAACAAAGAAGTTGAGTAATATTATACAAATTATTCGATTCAATTTAATATATATAGAGGGTGTCCCGTGAGTAGAGAGAAATGTTTATAAGAGTGAAAGTAGACCTCAAAATCTACAAAAAAGTTTAAATAAACAATGACCTAATTTCCACCAGAAAAGTAGGAAATTCAAGATTTGTGATTTTTTAAGTGTTGCGTTCTTTGTTGAATAGAAAGCGATAACTAAAAAAATATTTAATTTAAGAAATTAGCAATTGCTTCACAGTAAACTAGATAAAATTTAATTTTAATGAAAATAGAGTTTTTATTTATGTAATCATTTAAAGAGGGCTACTGAACGGATAAAATTAGATAAGTTCTGTTTAAAAAAAAATTCATAAATTATTTGTGATTTTTTTTATCACCCTCAAACTACACTAAAGATGCCCCCGCTTGTAGAAAAACTTGCTCGTTTAATCAGCTTTAAGTCCATATTAATTAAGTTGATGTTTATGAGGGAAAATTTAGATATTCACCCCATTTAGTTGTCTAAAAAGAATTATCTAATTAGATATCATGTCACGTAAAAGTAATCATATTTCCGGAAAAAATGACTACAATAAATTATTCAAAACATTTAATATTTTGGTTTCCATCCATCATGTGGGATGCATTATAAAAAATATAAATGAATAAGTATACTTTTTATTTATTAAAAAAAAAAACTTTAAAAATAATGGTTTTTCGAATACTTATCATCTAAAGTGATAATGTAACTGTGTTTTTTACCTAACCTTTTCAATCTATTACGGATAATCCGTGTTACAGAGCCATTTTTATCAAATCATTAACATCCGCCCGAAACTTTGCTAATAACTTCATCTCATCGTAACCTACTTATTAATTTTCTTTACGAAAATTCTCGGAATGGGGGCGTTTCCAATCTGCGGGAGAGCGAACTTTGTCTAATAGGTACTAAACACTTGTAAATACCCATTTGCTTTGATGCGCTTGAATCCTAAGATAATTTGAATACAAAATCGATAATAAAGGTGGCCTACAAAAATATTGTTCAGGGGTGGTTGCTCAATATTTTTGAAGAGTTACCTTTTTTTCCCGAATTTATACTCAAGTTATGTTACGATTGAAGTGGAAAGTAAATGTTTATTTACGAATTTTTAGAACCTAATTGAACAGACAATGTTTGCCGACCTCCAGATTGAAAATGCCCTTATTTCGAGAATTTTCGTAAATAAAATATTTGTAGGTTATGGTGAGATGAAGCTATTTACGGAGTTTGAGGCGGATGTTAATAATTTTACATAAAGAGTTCTGTACCACGGACTACAATCAAAACCCGTTTAACGTTGTACATTCAATACTTTAACATGGTGCCGACGATAACAATAATGGATTAGTGTACGCTCAGACATACCTGGGTCTTAAGGCTTAATACTCAATCGAAGGGATAATTCCCAGTGGGGCACCCTCATCACTTATTAGGATAGCTACTCAAGTGAGAGCTCTCACAGGGTAAATTACTAGTGGTTTTATGACAAGGAAAAAGCAAATCGCGGATTTATTGAAAAAAGTACATTTTTGAACGAGCTCAAATTTTTTTTTAATGTTGATCCTATTTTTCGATACGATAAGCGGATCAAAATGAGACAAACTCTTTGTACTTAACAAAAATAGTTACACTTTAGTGCACAATATTCTGATTTCACAGAGAAAAAAATCATCTAAGTGTTAAAGTGATTTAAGATTATGAAATGATATATATATATACGAAGATCCCTCTTGTTAAAGCTATACACTCATCCCGTACTCTATTTATACATGGACTCCACCCCACAATAAGCTCAGTCCAGTTGGCAGAGCAGCGCAGTATGTTTGTCATAATTCCCTAAACGATATCAAAGGTTGCACCAGAGCCACTTGAAGCTATCACCTTGTTTACCACAACAGCCGCCCCGCCCCCCTTTCCTCCCCTCTAATTATACAGCCTAATATTAGTCAGCTGTCCCGCTCTAGTTTTCAAAAGAGCTTATGCAACCGAAATATCGTTAGTTACCTTAAGCTTTTCCTCACCACAGAGCAGAGCCAAAAATAATGTTATTTATTAGGAAAATGTAATATATAATCAAATAAACGTGGGCAGCGACCTGTTGTTGGTTTTATTTCCATGCCAA